ACTCTTAAATAAATACACCCAAGTCCGTATGTTCCATGGCAGTGCCAGCAAGTGTTTTGATCCCAAATCAAGAGAAGCAATGAGGTCGCTTTTCTTAGCTTAGTTCACTTTGGTTCATCCCCAGAAAGACTCCAATAGGTGGCACAAGCACCCTACAAGAAACACATGCGTTTAACACGTTTTTCATCCTCTGGTCAAATTTGGCATGAAGTGTCGTGCGTAGGGCAGAGTGGTTGGACTGTAAAAGACGTAAAGACTCCCAGAGACCAACTCAGAATTGCAAACATGTCCATACTTAGCATTGGTGCCAGTTTTTACTTTATTACTGAATCTGCTTCATTTGTGCATTGTTTTTCTTGTTTTAATCCCAGTTCCGTCTGGTAATACTAAAAAATATATATATTTGATCTAATCTTGAAATAAGGAGTGTCAATCTCACTGATTACGTAACTTAACTCCAGTTTTCAAAAAGAACAATAAAAAGAGCTTAGAGCCATAAGGGCCAATTTCATGTAGAGTCTGTTTTGAGAAAAGTGATGAAAACGCATAATATTATGGATGTTAATGAACTTTTTTCTACCGATAAATTCCTCGACATTAAGGCATTGTGACAGCAGAGATATAAATGTTGTTATAAAAAAACATTCAAAAAAGGAAATAAACCTACGTTTTAAATTTTTGTAAGGGTGGAAAGGGCCAATATCTGTATTTTGGCCCTTCTTACCCTCGGGCATTTGCATGTGATTTAACATGTGAGATTGATAAACCACTACTGAAAGTACAAACACATACTATTGAAGTACTTTTAATTATTTAAAATGATTTAAACTACTGTTGCCAACTTTGTTGTAATAGTTGAAATATGATTATAAGGTGTCCAAACTTTCAAAATCTCTCTCAGACAACCATTCTCAACTACACGCGGAAATGAGAGCTAAAAGGGCCAAAATCTAGCAAATGACTTTGGCCCTTTTGGAACTTGACTTTGGCCCTGTTATAGAATTTTAAGTAGCTATATTTCAAAAACGCATCAATGAAAACATACAATATGTTTTCTACAGGTAGACAATAACTTATCAATGTTATTTATGCAATAATAAGCAAAAAGGGCCAAAGTGCATTTAAGCTCTAAGCTCTTCATTATGTTATATAATGAGCACGTTGTACAAGTTTATGATTTATTAACAGAGGATTGGATTTTCGGTGTGCATTTGTTTCATCGTGGACGTTACACTCTCATAGTTAGTGAATTGGGTTGTACGCCGCTGTGATCGGTGTTTAAAGGCATGACTGTTTGAAGAAAGAGAAAAGAGACGCAGCTTTTAGACGTTGCCCTTTGTTGAAACCCACTCAGATAACAATCACAACCACAGTAATTTGAGATTCGAAGCCGTGATCATCGAATCCTACCTCGACGAAGGGAGTAAACTCTGCACAGCGAATCGCTCAGACGATTCAGAAACCCTTGCTCTTTGGATGAGATGGTATAGAGTTCAGTCTGTGGCAAACATTTATTGGAACCTCATCAACTAAAATTTATAGCGATCAAATGCTGTGGAACATATAACGATTTGTTTGCACTTCGTGCACTGGCAGTACACACTGTCCTCTGTAGGGAAAGGTCCACACATGATGTCTCTTTTGGTGGATTGCAAGGTTGATTGTGTTTACCAAGTGGCACTGGTTATCAGAGATGGATTCGTGAAGATCCGGGGTAGATCCGGGGTAGAATAGGCCTTCAGCAACTCATGCTGGCCGTAACAAGTGACTGTGCTTGTCGTAAGAGGCGACTAACTGGATCGGGTGGTCAGGCTCGCTGTCTTGGTTGATACATGTCATCGTATCGTCACTCGACTGTCTGGTCCAGACTCGATTATTTACCGACCGCCTTCATAAAGCTAGGACATTGATGAGTGCGGCGTTAAACACACAAAAAATATAAAAAAATAAAAATCCTTAGAGACGACTAAAATTATTATTGGCACAATGTGTGATGGTGTTTTTTATGTCACCACGCTTCGATGACGTTGATCAACGTTCTTGTTATCAACCTCTGGTTTACCTGCCCAGAATCTCTCTTTTACTGTTCGGCATGATGTGGCTTGTAGGATATGCATTTTATATAATAGATATTGACACTTGCTCGAATGTAAAAAAAAAATCCGATCAACAAACAGAAAACGTCAACGCCAGAGAATAACCAGTCTCGATTATCCGCCGAAACATATTCCACTGGGCGTGAGTACAAAATAGCAGTGTGCAATATTATCTGAATGAATCACTGAATATATCAGGCCTTCTACACAAGAGGTTTATTTTGATAGTAGACATACTCAAATAATATTACTTTTAATGATATATGGACACATTCGGTCTCGAGTTAAGAAGGCCAAATAATTCATAAGAATATTCTGATAATGCCGAAAACATAAAATGCAACGTCAGTTGTGTGGCAATACGCCGAGACATCCAGTTTGTGTTTCTGGAGGACAAACGAAAAGCGATTTTACAAATATACGCCGGAACCACTTCTCGATTTCTTAAGATGACATCGACACATACGGACATACAATGCGTGTGGTAACAGAGCGTTCAGCCAGATGCTGGGTTAATTCAATAACTTCGCCTGAAGTTGCTAAATTGAGTAGCATCGTGTTATGACTTGTATTAGGTTAACCCAAAATCATAGCATAAGTAACATCGGTTACTTTAGTTACACCTTATTAAGCCATGTACAGAGAGTTACTCTCGTTGCCTCCTTTAAAGCAACATGTCGATATACCCCATTATTATATCTTCTTATTGCGCCACATATCACGGTACTCTAGTAACATCGCCATATATCGAGTTACTTAAGAGACATTTTCTTGAGGAATATTTACCTATAGAAGTAACATCGCCAGAGTAACTACAGTGCCATTGCTTGATTTATCGAGTTGTTTTAAGTACCATCGCCTGATGCATCTCGACTTACTCCCAGTATTTTAGAGTTATTGTAGTTACATCTTCTCATGATATGTCGAGTTATTGAAGTATCATCTTCTGAATATGTCGAGTTATTGAAGTACAATCTTCTCAATATGTCCTGTTATTGAAGTGACATCTCAATATATTGAGTAATTCAAGTAACAACTTCTGAGGCTGTATTTTCGAGTAAGTGAAGTAACATCTTCTGAATATGTCGAGTTATTGAAGTACAATCTTCTCAATATGTCAAGATATTGAAGTAATATCTTCTCAATATGTCCTGTTATTGAAGTGACATCTCAATATATTGAGTAATTCAAGTACCAACTTCTGAGGCTGTATTTTCGAGTTAGTGAAGTAACATCTTCTGAATATGTCGAGTTATTGAAGAACACTCTTCTCAAGTAACATCTCAATATGTCAAGTTATTGAAGTAGCATATTTTGAATATGTCGCGTTATTGAAGTGCCGTCTTTTCTTAATGTCTCGCGTCAATGAAGTACCATCTTCTCAATATGTCGAGGTATTGAAGTTACATCTTCTGAATCGGTATGTCGATTCACTGTAGTTCGAGATAACGAGAATCTTCTGCGTACAGTTTGCGAGTTATTGAAGTAACATCTCAATATGTCGAGTTATTGAAGTAACATCTTCTCAATATGTCGAGTTATTGAAGTAACATCTTCTCAATATGTCGAGGTATTGAAGTACCATATTCTGAATCATTATGTCGATTTACTGTAGTTCGAGATAACGAGAATCTCCTGCGTTCGGTTTGCGAAGCTGTATGTCCCACTTTGCTGTGGGTAGCGAGGCAGAAGAAATAAACCAGACACTCTTCATACTAAGGCAACCGCTTACCAACTTATCACTGTCCTTCAAGAACGGTGCACCGTCGGCGAAGGATCAATCCGGGCAAGTTTGGACAACGGGTCTGCAAAAGACGTCAGCTACGTGCATGTCCCGCAATGATTACAGGGGATAGAGACAAAAGCCCCATCGTTCACGCTATACAGCAATAAGAGGATTATACACTGTGGTTCTGAGCACGCCAGCAATCCCCTAGTCCTACTTATACACAACGTGTAATTGATTTTGAATTAGATCGGGTTTATGTCCACTCTTTGCAATTATGTATTCTGTTCGGAGTTTGCCAGAAATGGCATGTGAAGGGTGTTATCACAACTTTCTCGTTGTCATTTATTGTCCATGGAAACAAACTTTAGTCGTCGACTTTGAAACTTACAGTGCAACATTCTGGTTTGGTCATGCGGACTTAAAGCCCTGGGTTGACCACGTGTGGCAGCTGATTGACCTTGTGTGTCTCCTCAATCGCCTTAAGTGTCTCTAAATTGAATTAAGTCCTATGTATCATTATGTAAGCTGCTATGAAAGAAGGGATTAATTGAACGTGCCCTATATGACTGAACCCTTTTGAAACGGCAAAGCAAATGTAAATTGCTGTCTTATTTGATGGTATATTTAGGCACAGCAGTACTCACACAAAACTGGGATATTTGGCGCATTCTGCCTTATTCTGTGCTAGATATAGTGTGCTTAGACTCTTATTGTCCGTATCGATATTTTAGTTTTTTGGTTTGTTTTATACATCCATGTATATTTATACGGATTCTAAGGCAGGGATTCATTTCAGATACCAGTGCGTCTTTTGTCATACGAAGTAACGTGTCAGCTATTTGTCTACATTTATAATTAAATATATTTCTGATGATGACGAGAATGATGATGATGGCGGTGGTGTTTAGGAAATGTGTGGATTTTTAGATGATGGTGATGATGATGGTGATGATGATGAAGATCAATAATAATAATAGCAATGTTACAACAACTACTACTACCACTACTACTACTACTGAAAATAATAATAATATATGTGCGGGAATAGTCGTATGTATGATGTGGCATTATTGTATATAATTTAGAGATGTGATATCAGTAGCACGTAAGACATATTTTTCCATTTCTTATTCGTTCCTCGTGACATCATAATCACAATATTCTTTTCCTTTCAGGAATCTTTTCCCGGATAACCTGATCACTGCCTGCTATAATGCGGTATGTATTCTGTTTCATTTACTCTACGGGGCGGTGGAGTAGCCAAGTGGTTAAAGCGATCGCTCGAAGGCCGGGTTCGAACCCCACATCGGTACCATGTGTGAAGCTCATTTGTTGTATCTCCTGCCGGGATACTGCCGGACTATTGCCAACTGCGGCGTAAAACATGATTCACTCACACATTAATTTACAATACGGACATATCAGTTCCAGATATATATGGGTGTGAGTGAGTGAGTTGGGTTTAACGCAGCTTTTAACAGTATTCCTGTTACATCGCGGCGTGTCAGCTTAATGTGGGAGGAAAGCCCGAAGTGGTGCAGGTCTCAGACGTTTACCACTTCGGTGAAACCCACGAGCACGAGTATGGTGCTGACAAACCTAGAAACATAATCGGGGCGATCCGGGATTCGAACCCACAATCATAGGTTTCTGGCGTACCCAAGGGACGCAACTCTTAACCAAACTAACTCACATGTCGAGATAAGATAAAAAAGTGTGCACCCATGTTTGATGGTGGCCAAAATGAAACAAAGAGGAACAGGTTACTCGATGGGGATGTATTTGATACGGGTATCATAGGCGATGTTACATGCATCACATCAATGAGTATTTAACAACAGGTGACGTGCACATGACGTCACAGCCCACAGTGATGAGTAGAGTGAATTTGAATTATCAAATGTATATTTTTTGTAATGAGTTTCTGTACCTCTCATGCTGAGTGAGATTCTAATAAGTGAATATATTGTGCAACAAACATTTCAGACGGAGCTGTATCAAGTGAAGATGCAGGCATAAGATGCGTGAAAGATGCTTGCTCTTCTCATTGAAACCGTATACATGTACATGCGTTTTCAAGTGACCTTTCCAGCGCTGATAAGCATGTTATAATATAGTAATGTGATACGTTCACTGATTGTTGACATGTGCACAACTTGTGTTTTGTTTGCCCAAGCTAAACAATATAAAGACTATCTTTGTCGTTTTTACTTGATATTAATGAGTTTCGCTCGTACCCGAGAATGTCCGGGTTATAATTGGCCTTCTTCCCATGGTTGTCGGACGCAACTAACGGGATCGGGTGGTCAGGCCCGCTGACTTGGTTGATGCATGTTATATCCAAATTGCGCAGATCCATGTTCATGGTGTCAATGACTGGATTGCCTGCTCCGGATTCGATTATTTACAGACGGCCAAATGAATACAGTCTGTCCCTCTCTCTCTCTCTCTCTCTCTCTCTCTCTCTCTCTCTCTCTCTCTCTCTCTCTCTCTCTCGCCTTTTCTCTCTCTTTCCCTTCCTCTATCTCTCTGTCTGTGTCAATCTGTCTCTTTCTCTTTCTCTCTCTCTCTCTCTCTCTCTCTCTCGCCCTTCCTCTCTCTTTCCCTTCCCCCTCTCTCTCTGTGTCAATATGTCTCTCTATCTCTCTCTTTCTCTCTCTCTCGCCCTTTCTCTCTCCCTCCCTCCCCTCTCTCTCTGTGTCAATCTGTCTCTATCTTTCAGTCTCTCTCTTTCTCTCTGTCTCTCGCCCTTTCTCTCCCCCCCCCCCCCCCCCCTTCTCTCTCTCTCGCTGTGGTTAGTCTGACAGTATCGTTAGAACCTTATTAACCTTTAGGGTCTAGACTCTTTGCATGCATTGATGCCAGAGACATAATCCTTGACTCCCGGTCAAGTGTTGCCCTAAGGTTGGGGATCAGAGGCTCATCACAGATGCGATCTGTCGCTTATGGCGCACGAGATGCGAAACGTCATGCTATCCCGCAGCAGTATTCCGTCAGTCTTCTTGAACAAGTACCGATTTCATCGTGACGTAACCACCGATGGGGCAGGATACGTGCATCATTTCGCCGAAACCTGGTATCATCACTATTTGATAATAATTCACAAACACATTCTTATGATATAGTCAGAATCGTACAGTGGACTCATATTAAAAAATTCTGTCAGGTTTGGAAATAATTGATTTTTTATATGATCAGTCAAAGTCTCAAGTATTTCGTGTCAAACGCAGTGTGTTAACGAAACTAAACATATTTCGTTTGACAAATAAAAAACAAATTTCGTCTGTGTAAATACACAAAAGCGCAATGACGCAATCTAGAAGGAGAAAATCAGCTCTACCTGAATATATAGCAATGATTCGGGGTTTTATAATCTTGATAACTGATTATTAATTTATAAGTAAACAAAAATAACATGACGATACTAAACGTGTCATAGATATAATCAAACTCTTATTTCACATTTTTTTGTAGTGAGCTCCTTTTTTCAAATGTTTCATCCAGAAAGTCTGAGAGAAGTAACCACAGAATATTTATTTTCAAAATTCGTGTACACATACTCTCATATCCCACACTCGGATTTTAAGAAAAGAAAGACCAATTTTTCTAACCGCAATAACATGTCATAACTAACCGCATTGGGGACAGGGTGGGGCAGTCATCTGAGGCGCCGCGATTCGCTGTGCAGAGTTGCGTCCCTTGGGCACGCCAGAAACCTATGATTGTGGGTTCGAATCCCGGTTCGCCCCGATTATATTTCTAGGTTTGTCAGCACCATGCCATGCTCGAGACCTGCATCACTTCGGGCTTTCCTCCCACATTAAGCTGACACGACGCGATATAAATGGAATTCTGTTAAAAGCGGCGTTGAACCCAACTCACTCACTCACTCTTACTGCATTGAAGACATGTGCCCCTTTGTAGCTATACTCTCTCTCTCTCGTCCAACCAATCCTCATTTTGTCGTCTATTACAGGTGAGGTGAAATGGGGTTTAACGTCGCGTCCAAGATTATTGCACTTACATAGCGACGTGCATGTACGTGTGTTTGTTTGGCTGCTTGTACTAGTCCGGACTGATGCCGATATAATGCCAGCCCACTGAGATACCATGCCGCAGTTTAACATGAATACCCCACTCAGACACAGTATACTGACTCCGAGCCGACCAGTCCTTGTTTTATCCCCTTAATGCCGAGCGCCAGACCGTACCATCTTTTAACGTCTTTTGGTATGACGCGGCCGGGGATCGAACCCCGGACCTTCCGCTCTCCAGGCGGACGCTCTACCACTAGACCACGGAGGCCGTCCGTCTATTACAACAATCACACACACACACACACACACACACACACACACACACACCAAGACCCGATCATCTGACTTCTGTTCCTTCTGCTCCATCAACCTACATGCTCCAGTACTACAAATGTCTCCCAACACCTAATGTCGTCATAAACAGGAACTCAACACTCATAAAACGGCCATGATAGCCAGGACAATGTGCGGCGTGCTGCAATGGATAATTAGTTCTGGAAATAGGATCGTGGAATCACAGAGCCCAGTGAGATGCTAGCTCTACTCCCACGTTCTGAAGGTGTATGATTCCCCGGCCCTTGTCTTGTACGAGAGTAAACCGCCTCCGTGATCTAGTGGTAGAGCGTCCGCCTGGAGAGCGGAAGGTCCGGGGTTCGATCCCCGGCCGCGACATACCAAAAGACGTTAAAAGATTGTACTTGTTGTTATCTTGTCTGGCGCTCGGCATTAAGGGCCTAAAACAAGGACTGGTCGGCTCGGAGTCAGTATGCTGTGTCTGAGTGGGGTATTTATGTTAAACTGCGGCATGGTATCTGAGTGAGCTAGCACTATAAATCGGCATCAGTCCGGACCAGTACAAGCAGCCACACAAACAAGTGGATGCACGTCGCTATATACAAGTAAGTGCAATAATCTTGGACGCGACGTTAAACCCAATTTCACCTCACCTGTAGGAGGGTAAAACGTGCATCCTACACTTTGGACATTGGCAATACTTCCAGGAATGGGTGACTCTTAGAGAATGAGGACTTCCTGATATGAGTGAGTGAGTTGGGTTTAACGCCGCTTTTAACAGTATTCCAGTTATATCACGGCGTGTCAGCTTAATGTGGGTGGAAAGCCCGAAGTGATGCAGGTCTCAGACGTTTACCACTTCGGTGAAACCCACGATCACGGGTACGGTGCTGACAGACCTAGAAAAATAACTGGGGCGAACCGGGATTCGAACCCACAAAGATGGGTTTCTTGCGTGCCCAAGGGACGCACAGCGAATCGCGGCGCCTTAAACGACTAGGCCACCTGGCCCACTCCTGGTATGAACAGGCATGAGATGTGGTCTGCATCAGGTGGTCAGCGCGACCTGTCTAACCACACAACTATCCGGTGCCCAGCTCCCCAACTTACGCTGTGTGTCATACAATCACCGGCAATCAAACCTATACCAAACGCATATATGCTAATGCACATTGTCTCTATTGCTGGTTGTAGTATGGTATTAAGGCTTGTCACATACAAGTTTATTTGTTTGTTTGTTGTTTCACACAACACTCAGCAATATTCCAGCTATATGACGTCGGTCTGTAAATAATAATAACCAGACGATCAAGTGATTTGCATCATGAGCATCGATCCACGCAATTGGGGTCGATGACATGCATCAACCAAGTCAGCGATCCTGAGCACCCGATCCCGTTAGTCAGACTCGATTATTTACAGACCGCCGTCATATAGCTGGAATATTGCTGCGTGGGTGTTAAACAACAAACAAACAAACAAACATTAAACTTGAAAGTTTTACTGAGGCCTTGTTTCTTTTAAAACTGATGAAGCAGCTTTTTATCAAGAGAAAATCTTCGCTGAAAGAGAATGCTCGATTGTACCTCACAAGTTGTGAAATGTAGACGCCATTGGCTGGTGCTGCTAGAATATTTCTCGACATGTAGGGAAACATAGTCACCAATCTTGTCATACAAACAACACTGCTTACACTATCTAAACCGAGTCAATCGTGATCCCAAGCACGTCATGCCTGTCCCCAGAGTCAACACCACGTGACTTCGTACCCCGGCATGGACCGGTGTTGATGCTATCGTCCATTGGTTTTCCGGGTTCAATCCTGATGTTTTGCTAACCGCAGTGATAGAGCTGGAATATTGGAGTTGTAAGCGTTAAACAACATCCACCACCGAAAATCATGGACAACAGGAAATATATTAATGAAAAAATTGTTAAATGTAATGTAAAATTTTGTTCTTCAAGACGTTGGTTGTGGATTCACAGCCGTTTGAAAGAAAGATATGTTAACATTTCTAACACCACGTCTTACATCGACATTCTTCCCAATAAGCTGCGAGCGGTAGGCAAGATATCAAAGCCATGATAGGGTATTGCACTATTTTTGCAAGCAGGAAGTATGTTAAAGACATTCCCCTCCACAGAGTACAACACTCCCAGATGCGGGGCCGACTGATCTTAGGTCTGTCTGCTACTATAATGTCAACACATGGTACAGGGTTTAACGCAAGTCGTAGACGTGTACCGCTTGAAGTGAGTGAGTGAGTTGGATTTTACACCGCTTTGAACAGTATTTCAGTTATATTACGGTGTATCAGCTTAATGTGGAAGGCGGGTAGCCCAGTGGTTAAAGCGTTCGCTCGTCACGCTGAATCACCGGGTTCGATTCCCGATATGGGTACAATGTGTGAAGCCCATTTCTGATGTCCCCCGCCGTGATATTGCTGGAATAATGCTAAAAACGGCGTAAAACCATACTCACTCACTCACTCACTCACTAATGTGGAAGGAATGCCTGAAGTGATGAAAACCACGCGGACTGATGACGTTACCCAGACTCGCCCAGATTGTGTTTCTGGGTTTATCAGTGATGGGTTTTACCAAAGTGGTAAGCCTCTAAGACCCGAACCATTTCGAACCTACCTGTCACACCAACCTGCCACCCCGTGGAATAATTGAAATACTGTTCAATAAAATCGTTTATCATTTAACTGAGGCATTTGTCCATGACATAAGCTTTACACATAGAAACATGTATGTCATACCCCAATGACATAAGTATGGGCTTCACACATTGTACCCGTGTGGGGAATCGAACCCGGGTCTTCGGCGTGACCAGCGAACGCTTTAACCACTAGGCTACCCCGCCGCCCTGCAATGTTCAATAGAAATCTAACATGCTTAGTTAATTCAATACACTTCTGTGACCTCTGTTATGTGTTGAAAGATATAATTATGTGTGGATTGCGGACTGGAATGCTAGTCATACGAGGTGATTAAATTGGTCGCTTCTGGAACACGATTGATTGCTCATAATATCAATCACTGGTCCGACTGGTCCAAGATCGAATATTACAAGCTGGTGTCATATTGCTGAGTGCGGCGTTTTACAAAAAAATAATGATATATGTCTGACGTTTGCCCTGTTTAGTAAGATTTCTGTCTCTTTACAGTACCGGACAAAAGAGGTTGAGGTTCCCATCGAGAAGAAGGTCCTCAGCATTAACATCACCAACATCACGGGGACGACGGAGGCGTCGACGGCTTACAATGTAGTAACGGAGATCTCTGCTGCTTTGAACGGTACAAATGAAACTGGTAATGTCTCAATTTAATATAATTACAGTAGGAACCCTTAGCAAGGTAGGACTTAGATTTAGTTGGCGCCAGAATGTGCCCATAGTTTTCCCAGAGCTTCTAGACTAGAATATATTTATATATATATATCACAGCTCCCCAGCTCACAATTTATATCACATGTAGACTTTTGCACGTACTAACATATCTACATCAGAGGAATTATATACTAATAATAAACAATGTGCAGAAGGTGCTGAAACGATATCAGTGTCAAACTGGGTTCAGAAGCTTTCTGTTTAAGTATTTACGACTAATAGCAAGTAATTAGTTGAGTGAACTGTCATGTATTCACTTGCTAGTATAAAGGCGGACCTGTGAAGATCCGGGTAGAATAGGTCTTCAGCAAACCATGCTTGCCGTAAAATGCGACTATGCTTGTCGTTAGAGGCGACTAACGGGATCAGGTGGTCAGGCTTGCTGACTAGGTTGATGCTGTCCACGTATTCCAATTGCGTGGATCGATGCTCATGATGTCAATCACATGATTGTCTGGTCCAGATTATTTACAGACCGCCGTCATAGAGCTGGAATATTGCTGGTGCGGCGTTAAACAACAAACAAACGAACGAACAGGCACATACTAACGGGTTGGGCTTTATCAGCAGTTGCTGAAGCATTCGCTCGTCACTCCGAAGCACCGGGGTTTAATCCAACATCGATATGATGTGTGATATCCTTTTTCAGGTGTTGCCCGTTGTGTTGTTGGAATGTTGCTAAAAGCGGCGTATGGCCATATTAACTCACTACTACCTGTTTAGGGATGGAGTTTGTTACCCACTATACATATGTTCTACATTCGCCCTGTGTGGCGGGATTTTTTGGTGCGAACCTCAATATCACTTGTACGATATAGTACAAGCATATAAAGTCAATCATAAGTAAACGTGCGGTTATATTGTGTTTGTTGTTTAATACAACCTTCAACAATTTTCAAGCTATATGACGGTTGCCTGGAGTAAGTGAGTGAGTAAACTTTTACACCGCTTTCAGCAATATTCCAGCAATATCACCGCTGGGGACACCAGAAATGGGCTTCACACATTGTACCCATGTCGGGAATCGAACCCGAGTCTTCGGCGTGACGAGCGAACGCTGTAACCACTAGGCTACCCCACCGTCCCCGGTTGCTTGGAAATACTTGAGTTTATCCAACGAGCAGTGTTACACGTCGTCGGGGTACAAATGGCTTGCAATCCGGTTACCGATCTTGACCTCCGGCCCGATTAGTCGGCAACCAAACCACCGGATCGGATTAGTCGGTCACCTGACCACCCGACACGATTAGTCGGTCAGCTGACCACCCGACCATCCGACCCGATTAGTCGACCAACTTACCACCCGATCAGATTACTTAACCACCCGATTATGCGTCCCGATTAGTCGGCCAACAGACCACCCAACCCGATAAGTCGGCCACCTTAACACCCGACCATCCGACCCGATCAGTCGACCATCTGACCACCCGACATGATTAGTCGGCCAACAGACAATACGACCCGATTAGTCGACCATTTTACCAACCGACACGATTAGTCGGCCGATGGACCACCCGAACCGATTAGTCGGCCCCCTTAACACCCGAACCCATTAGTCGGCCACCCGATTCATCAGATAAGTATCGGTTGCCTGACGCCCTTTCTAATCCGGAATTTCAACGGGTTATCGAAAAAATAAAAGACACAAAGTGCATTATTGTTGTTTGGCTATGTTACAAAACACACATCATTTAGGAGTATACAAACACTTCAGGGACAGATATTTGTATAGTCCTCAGGGTGCTGAGATTGCAATTATTGTGCACATTTATCCGAAGACCGAGATAATGATAATGTTATCATGATCTTTCACTTTGTTTGTTCGTTTGTTGTTTAAAGCCGCACCCAGCAATATTCCAGCTATATGACGGCGGTCTGTAAATAATCGAGTCTGGACCTGACAATCCTGTGATTGACGTCATGGACATCGATCCACGCAATTGGGATCGATTACATGCATCAAACAAGGTCAGCCAGCCTGACCACCCGATCCCGTTAATCGCCTCTTAATCCTGCGCATTATAAATGATTATTATACTGTGAATATTAGAGTCCGGCATTTTAATACACAACGCACATATATTGTGTATTAACGTTGTATATGCTGAAAAAAAGATGCATTACTGAGGTTCATCGCAATTATTTTCCATTAACTGTCTGCTTTGGGCCTTCGGGGATGGTGTTGATTAATTTGTATTAGGATGCGTGGTATATCTGTGTCCGACAAACTGATAAAATAAAATAATGATTATATTTCGACCCACTACAGCCTCTATTAATATGTAATCACAAGAACTAAATGTGCATATATTTAGCTACAAAACTCAACGATTTATTGGACCCGTGAAGATCCGCGGTAGAACAGGTCTTCAGCAACCCATGCTTGCCGTAAAAGGCGACTATGCTTGTCGTAAGAGGCGACTTACGGGATCGGGTGGTCAGGCTCGCTGTCTTGGTTTAATGCATGTCATCGTATCCCAACTGTGTGGATCGATTCTCGTGATATCAATCACTGGATTGTCTGGTCCAGACTCGATTATTTACAGACCGCCGTCATATAGTTTGAATATTGCTGAGTGCGGCGTTAAACAACAAAAAACAAACAAATAAACAAACAACGGTTTATTGATGGTTATTTTAGGACCACAGCGTTTCATAGACATGGAAACACATGTCTTATGATTATGACTTTACCGTTTTTGCACCCATCAACTGATCATGAATAAAGGGTGTTATTTCGTCAACATCAGATTCTATGTTATATTATTTAGACACGAGCAGTATTTGGATTCGCTACGAAAACTATTTATAGAAAATTACCTGGTACAATACTCATACTGTCGCTGATTATAGTGATGTCCACAGCAAGAGCCAATTAGTAAGTAGAACTATATACCCAATGGCTATTGTTTCAGGATAAAATTGTGATCGCGATGGGAAACGTGAGTTTTGTATACCTCCGAGGTCGCTGGTGGTTCAAGATGAGATCGCGATTGGTTGATGAGATAACGATTGGTTCAAGATAAAATCGTGAGTGGTTCAAGATGAGATCGCGATTGGTTCAAGATGAGATCGCGATTGGTTGATGAGATAACGATTGGTTCAAGATAAAATCGTGAGTGGTTCAAGATGAGATCGCGATTGGTTCAAGATGAGATCGTGATTGGTTGATGAGATAACGATTGGTTCAAGATGAGATCGTGAATGGTTCAACATGAGATAGCGATTGGTTGATGAGATAACGATTGGTTCAAGATGAGATCGTGATTGGTTGATGAGATAACGATTGGTTCAAGATAAGATCGTGATTGGTTGATGAGATAACGATTGGTTCAAGATGAGATAGCGAATGGTTGATGAGATAACGATTGGTTCAAGATGAGATAGCGATTGGTTCAGGATGAGATAGCGATTGGTTCAGGATGAGATCGCGATTGGTTCAGGATGACATAGCGATTGGTTCAGGATGAGATGGCGATTGGTTCAAGATGAGATCGCGATTGGTTCAGGATGAGATAACGATTGGTGCAAGATGAGATAGCGATTGGTTCAAGATGAGATAGCGATTGGTTCAGGATGAGATCGCGATTGGTTCAGGATGAGATAGCGATTGGTTCAGGATGAGATCGCGATTGGTTCAGGATGAGATCGCGATTGGTTCAAGATGAGATCGCGATTGGTTCAAGATGAGATCGTGAATGGTTCAAAATGAGATAGCGATTGGTTGATGGGATAACGATTGGTGCAAGATGAGATAGCGATTGGTTCAGGATGAGATCGCGATTGGTTCAAGATGAGATCGCGATTGGTTCAAGATGAGATCTAGATCGCGATTGGTTCAAGATGAGATCATCATTTGGTCAGGATGTTGTCGTAATCTGGGGCGATAGTTTCAATGCTTTACTCCTAAGCTATACTGGACATTAGTCTGTAACATACAAGCATTATCCAGGTTAGGTTAGGAAACAAAGTACACCGTTCATCATTTGTAGAGATCCACTATGTATTGTGTTGGTGTATATGGTTATAATGAATTCGTATATTGGAGCGTGTGTGTGTGTGTATGCGTGCGTGTGTATGTGTGTGTCTGTGTGCGTGTGTATGTGTGTGTGCGTGTGTGTGTGTATGTGCGTGTATATGTGCGTGTGTGTACGTGTATATGTGTGTGTCTGTGTGCGTGTGTATATGTGTGTGTGTACGTGTGTGTCTGTGTGTGCGTGTGTGTATGTGTGTGTGTCTCTGTGTGTGTATGTGTGTGTGCGTGTATGCGTGTGTCTTTGTGCGTGTGTATGTATGTGTGCATGTGTGTGTATGTGTATGTGTGTATGTGTGTGTGTGTGTGTTAGTGTGTGTGTGTGTGTGTGTACATGTATCATGGGTTCGGTTCCATCATAATCCTTAATCTGTCATTTCCGTCGCATTCTTGTTGATTTCCCCTGGTAAACATGTTCAACCAGCTTTTATTTGCACTTTTCTCTCAAACAATACTCACATGACACATCACATGAAAAGCGGCGTTAAAACCAACTCACTTACACACTCACATCCTATGAATGTGATGCAATATCGTGACCTTGACCTTCCCTGACGGTCTGCCTGTTGCCAGTTTATGGCACCATTAGTCCAAGATCCTCTGGGAATGCTATGATACTCTTTTACAATATCAATTTCCAGAAAATACCAAATTTGAATTTAATCAGTTTGGATCAAAATGAATGCCACCATGCAGTAATTCAAAGAACTGATAATTCAAGATTTCTACAGAATTAATGATCCAGAGGACAGTTATGTGTATTGTAAAGGACTAAAACAATGCTGGTGTTTTCTGGTACCATTCAAAAATATAATCCAGATCCTTTCTCACCATAAAATCTAATGCTTGGTCCTTCGTCAAATAGCAACATCTGCTAAAGCGTTGGGTTTCAGTAATTCAACATTGTTTTAATCCTGTACAAAAACAGAATGCCATCTGGATGATCAATTCTATATAATCTTGAATAAATGTTGAAAGGCATTGATGAAAGGCACCCTCTTTTGTATTACTCAACTTGATCAAACTGATTAGGAATGGGTCGCAGTGTTGAAGGCATTGCCAATCCAGAGAGAGCATTGCACATGACTCGAGCCGTTCACGTGTACAGATTTAATATATATGCATGAGTTGTGTATAGTTAGTAATGTATCTGTCTGCAGAACAAGTTGTTCAAAGGCGGACATATAGCCATGAAATGGTCTCCAACAGTACATATTTACGGCATAACGTACGCATTTATTTAGAAATATTCTGTCCACTAGTATTAACTGTTTAGTACCGTCATTAGTTCAATAGGGAATAGGGAGATATCAGTAATTTGTACATTAATGGGTCACCTTGTGTATTTCTCGACTATACGCTGATACAATGCCACGTCAGGAAGAGAATTTATGGATGTCAACTTCTTTATCATGAGAAACACAACGTTTCGGAGTGTATGCTTACTCCATCATCACAACGTTTCGGAGTCTATGCTTACTCCTTCATCAGGTGAAGGAGTAAGCACATTTATACTCCGAAACAATGTGTTCCTCATAATAAAGAAGTTGACATCCATGATTTATCTTTCTTATGTGTATCACTTCTAAATGCCTTTCAAAGACTTGATGCCACGTTGCCAAGGGATATAAAATGTCTAACAATGTAAAATTAGTCGTACATTAGTAACAAATATTAGATTTTGTTGGAGGAGCTTAAGCATAAAAAGAAATTCGTCGATATGTAGACCTATCTGCAGTGTCAAATATTCATTTGACGCAAGACTGTAAAAAGTAGGTAAACATCTGGTAGACGTAGATGTGACTTTAAGTGGTTGTGCTGACACTGATTAACAATCACACAGTTGGGACGATCTGTTTATTCCGACCATAATGGCATTATTTCTGCTCCCAGAACCAGAAACAGAATGGGTCCCGGCGCCAGGGAGTACAGGCCAGACGAACGTGTTGGGGATTGTCATGTTCTCCATCCTGTTCGGAGTGATGCTGGGACGGATGGAGGGTCGGGGGAAGCCCATCCTGGACTTCTGCAACACGCTCGTAGAGGTCACGATGAAGCTGTTTGTCATCTTTATATGGTATGCAATATTGTCAGTATTGTGTGTGCAAAGTATGGATGTATTTTTGTAAAAAATTGTATTCCAATATATCACACATGAAAGATTCTGTCGCTGGAATGTTAACCCATGCCCGGGCAGTGTCATATTTTGGGGGTAGGGGAAGAATGGTCTTTTTGTTTGAGACAGAATAATATTTGTCACCACTAAAAAACAAACATGCTGTTTTTGTAGTGTTTTTTGTACATTTAAAAGAAAATACACCACTGAAAAACAAAAATGCTGTTTTTGTAGTTTTTTTTGTACATTTAAAAGACAATTCACCACTGAAAAACAAAAATACTGTTTTTGTAGTGTTTCTTGTACATTTAAAAAACAATTCATCACTGAAAAACAAAAATTCTGGATCAGGAACAATTAGTACATCATTGACAGTCTGCAAAAACAGGTGCTCGTGGTAAACTGACCCGTCTGCATCCGTTTCGTGAATATCTGGTGACAACATGATAATTTAGGCTGGTGCATTATTGCAAGAAGACTAAATAAGGCATTTACTGTTCAATCATGCTATGATATCATAACAAATAATTGCCAGTTTTAAAACTTAAACCAAAAGGTACAAAAAGTGAAAAATCAATTATGATGTTTACTTGTTTGCTTCAAAATTCCAAATCTGCCGAGGTACAACAGCAAAATGTTGTTAAAGTCTATAGCTATTATTTTCGCTGCGTCACACGGCATCCTCAAATTTTCATGTCATTTCTCAAGAAAACCAACTATAATGTCAGTCAGTCGAACACTACAAACGATGCTTCGCATTTTCTTAATGACGTCAATATTATGCCATGGACAATACACACTCCGTGGTAACATCTTCAAACCATCGGATTTTGTTTCTGAAACGTATGTGGCCATATTTGGTCCCGATTTGGAGGAAATAATATACTAAGCACTAAAGTTTCTTTGGGTACCTTGTATGCATTATCTATTTCCTACTAAGGAAGGTAAAGTAAAGCGATTTTATGGCTTTTTATATAACTGTACTTCATGACTAGAATTTATGGAAGCCTTAAAGGGTCATTTGTTTTTTTGTTTTGTTTTTAAAAATTTGCGATACTATCTTGAAATTTCAAGATACTGAGTTAAAATTTTAAGTTATGATCTTGAAATTTCAAGACGATTATCTTGAAATTTTAACATAGTATCTTGAATTTTAAACTTAGTATCTTGAAATTTCAAGAAACACATTAAAAAAAACAAATGGCCCTAAAAGGCTTCCGTAAGAATTCTCCTTTATCCAAATATTAAAACCAGGATGAAATATATATATTTAAATGTTTGGACAGGTATTCTCCCGTGGGTATCGCCTTCCTCATCGCAGCTAAGATCGTTGAGATGGAAGATTTCGGGGTTCTGCTTGGAAAGGTCGGGCTGTACTTTATCACAGTGCTGTGTGGTCTGGCCGTGCATGGCGTCGTGGTGCTGCCAGGGCTCTACGTCCTCTGTACGCGGCAAAACCCATACAGGTTCATTTACGGCATATCTCAAGCTATGGCCACTGCATTCGGGACATCATCGAGGTGCGTGGTGATAGAGGCACTTTGTAATACTCTTTTAGGGCCAGACTTCGGCCCTGTTGTAATACATGTATGACATGCCTTCTTGTTCACCGTTAGATTACCGTTAGTGTACATCCATACCATATCTTCTTGTCATGGCCCACGCGCCATACTAAGCGTAAATGTTTAAAGCTGTTTTTACCCTTTCTACAGTAGTCCATAGTTTATTTGGTATACAGGGGACACGGGTGGCCCGGTCGACTAAGGCGCCGTGATTCGCTGTGAAGAGTTGCGTCCCTTGGGCATGCCAGAAACCTTTGATTGTGGGTTCGAATCCCGGTTCGCCCCGATTATGTTTCCATGTTTGTCAGCACCATATACCCTTGCTCGTGGGTTTCACCGAAGTGGTAAACGTCTGATACCTGCATCACTTCGGGCTTTTCCTCCCACATTAAGCTGACACGCCGTGTTATAACTGGAATACTGTTAAAAGCGGCGTTAAACCCAACTCACTCACTCACTATTTGTGAAACAAAGCTGGGAAAATTAAAAATTCATATCACCATATAACACTTGTACTGATTTGAGAACAATAATGTTTATTTATTGTATATTATGTCTGTGAGAGCTTGAACTATATAGGCTTAAAGTTTTATTGGCAATTATGTTTACTTGTACCGTTGAGAAACTGCACAGCTGATACCTGAACACAAAATGTAAACATGATAGTTGGACAAACACCAAACAACACACAATAACTCTATTATTGTACTTATGTCACGAATTCGAGTTATATGTTCCTGCAATTTATGCGTTAGTTTTTGTCGAATTACTGAGATAGATTCAAGGCTTAATACCTTGATATACCAGACCGTAATTAATTTTCATTATGTTTGTCTTTTGTTGTATTTTATCCAAGGTTTAATATCCCATGTTCGCTCCGTTTCATAACCATAAACATTCACTCTCAATACAACTTCGAGGTAAAGATTGGTCGAAATGATTCTTTGAAATTAAGTTTCTTTAAAACACAGATGCTCCTGGAATCTTTTGCATAATCCGTTTACCAGGTTTGCTATTGTATACGGGACGAGGGAGTAGCCTTGTGGTTAAAGCGTTCGCTCGTCACGCCGAAGACCCGGGTTCGATTCCCGACATGGGTACCATATATGAAGCTCATTTCTGGTGTCACCCGCCATGACATAATTGGAATATTGCTAAAAGCGGCGTAAAAGTATACTCACTCACTGCTGTTGTATACACAATGGACTGAGTATCTTGGAATTTTACCAAGTGAGTGAGTATGGTTTTACGCCACTTTTAGCAATATTCCAGCAATATCAGGGCCGGGGACACCAGAAATGGGCTTCACACATTGTACCCATGTCAGAATTCGAACCCAAGTCTTCGGCATGATGAGCGAACGCTTTAACCGCTAGGCTACCCGACCCCCCCCCCCCCCCCTCACATGTAAAGTACTGGAACATAATTCAGGAATATCTTTTTTAAAAACTAACACTAACATGTTGAAGTTGATATATTTATATAGCATATTCACATATATCACATCTCTCTAAGATGAGTACGTTCTTGTACACAGTTACAACCAGAAAGTAAAAATGTCAATTTTTTTTTACAAATAAATCATTTAACAAACGCAAAGCCCCAACCCTCAGGTATGTTTTCCAGTAAGTAGTCTATCACAGGGTGTTCTCTGTGGAGTGTTTTCTCATTCTGATGGGAAGGACTGAGTATAATGGTTATGTCCGATCCGACATTGCAAGGGAACAACTCCCTCACGACGGGCTAATGCAAAATACTTGTAGCTGTGACATCCGATGATTGTTTGGATGGCATGGAGTTTATTTCTATTTAGTTCAGAGCTGGTACTGGGGACAAGGGCTTCCTATTTGTTCGTTACCCATTCTGGTAAGCTTTGTAACTATTTCTGTTATTACACTGTGCAATGAAGGGGCGGTCGGGTAGCCTAGTAGTTAAAGCGTTCGCTCGTCACGCCGAAGACCGGGTTCAAATTGCCGACAAGGGTACAATTTGGAAGCCCATTTCTGGTGTCCCCCGCCGTGATATTGCTGGAATATTGCTAAAAGCGGCGTAAAATCAAATTCACATGGACAATACCATGAGCCGCTAACATCAGTTTGATATAAGGTTATTTTTACCTCGTGCTTTTAATGGGCCTGCCAGTCGGTATGTGATACCTGTAGGTGTTTGATTACATCGGGGTTCAGTGACGTGTTCCTACGCCACCGAAAACTATTTGGTACCTTAGTTTGCTCCGCGAAAAATATCTGATGCCTTTTCCTATGTAACGTTTGCAATATGGGAACACCAATTTCAAAATTGAAAGTGTTCATCTTATCAAATTAGTACCAATGCATTTGACCGTTCACGGTGACGGAAAAGCATTCAGATCACGCGAATAAATAAAACAATAAGACCACGTGAATTAATATCAGCGACTAATACTATAGGCAAATAAGTCAAGGGTTACACCAGAGGGGCAGACCTAGTCCTGTACCTATATGTTTTTAGGTATTTTATTTTACTAAAAGCCTCTGCAAGTCTACATCAAACTAAACCAAATGTAGTTTGCTTAACACAGCAGAAGAGGAAAGGTTCTTTCGAAGAAATATTTTAACGACATGGTTTCATTGACTTAGTAATAGTCTAGGGCATACCATGTGATCATGTAAGTCAGTAGATCAACAGCTTGACACCCGGTCCCGTCAAACCAAAAGACGTTAAAAGATGGTACTTAATGTTACCCTGTCTGGCGCTCGGCATTAAGTGGCTAAAACGAGGACTGGTCGCGTGGCAGTCACTACACTGTGTCTGAGTGGGGTATTCATGTTAAACTGCGGCATGGTATCTCAGTGGGCTAGCACTATAAATCGGCATCAGTCCGGCAGTACAAGCAGCCACACACACACACACACACACACACACACACACACACACACACACACACGCGCGCGCGCGTGTATGCACGTCGCTATATAAATGCAATATTGTAACGCAACGTAAACCCCATTTCACCTCACCTCGAAAGAAGGTGCCAGACATTACACTAGTTAGAGTGAGTGAGTATGGTTTTACGCCGCTTTAAGCAATATTCCAGCAATATCACGGCGGGGGACACCAGAAATGGGCTTCACACATTGTACCCATGTCGGGATTCGAACCCGGGTCTTCGATGTGACGAGCGAACGCTTTAACCACTTGGCTACCCGACCGCCCTACACTGGTTAGATAACCGCTTGAATACCCACGTTATAACTGCCTCAATGACTCAGAACTAGCTTATAACTCATCACCCATAGCTTAACACTGTTCTTATGTTTCAGCTCGGCAACTATGCCCGTGACATTACACTGTTTAGAGCACAATAACCACGTGGACCCTCGAGTCAGCAGTTTCGTCATCCCAGTCGGTGCCACGATAAACATGGATGGTACCGCGCTCTACGAGGCTGTAGCTGCACTCTTCATTGCCCAAGTCAACCACATGTCTATGGACTTTGGAAAGGTTGTCACTATCAGGTAATGGACATGGGATTATTATTATTTCAGCTGCCCTTCCAATTTTTTAATATGAACGATTGAATTGATCCCTTTCTATATTTATGAGAAATCTTTGCCAAAAGCAGAGTCGATTTACGATTCCAACTGTATCCTAAACATGCGTTCATGAATCACAATCACACAGTTATGATACCAGGTGTTCGCCAAATGGTGAATGTATCCTGCCTCGCCGGCGGCACCCGTCACAAACACACGCAAAGGCACGTCAACTGTCATAGACAGAAATGTCAACTGTCAAAGACAGAAATGTCAACTGTCATAGACAGGAATGTCAACTTTCAAAGCTAGAAATGTCAACTGTCATAGACAGAAAAATCAACTGTCAAAGATAGAAATATCAACTGTCATAGAAAGAAATGTGAACTGTCAAAGATAGAAATGTCAAATGTATTAGACAGAAATGTCAACTGTCAAAGATAGAAATATCAACTGTCAAAGATAGAAATGTCAACTGTCAAAGATAGAAATGTCAACTGACAAAGATAGAAATATCAACTGTCATAGACAGAAATGTCAACTGTCAAAGATAGAAATATCAACTGTCATAGACAGAAATGTCAACTGTCAAAGACAGAAATGTCAACTGTCAAAGACAGAAATATCAACTGTCATAGACAGAAATGTCAACTGTCAAAGATAGAAATGTCAACTGTCAAAGATAGAAATGTCAACTGTCAAAGACAGAAATGTCAACTGAAATGTCAAAGCCTAGGCCAACCAACCTACGTCACCAAGGGGATGGGTGTTAGGGATGGGGGGGGTCACCGCATACATGTATTTGGCCGCACGTCCATGTTATACAATAACAACCGTGTTACATCCGCGCATTGCGTGGAGGATATGCTTACCCTTTTCGTGAACACCTGGTGTCATCGTTGATTTGCGGTTGTCCAGTCATATAATTGTCACTGATATCTGCCCTTTTACACCAACGCAATCTGCATCGGCAGCAGATCGAGAGTGGTTATTATTCTCTGGCGTTGATGTTTTATATTTATCAGAAATCGGTCCATTCTGGACCAAGTCTCCATCCTCCCGTCTTAATAGATAATAATTCATTCACACTCTCATCCAGGACGTCTTTCACAGCATGATAAACACGGGAATAAGAAGTGTTGTTACTGACATAACACCGATCTGGAGAACGTTATTCCATTCTTATGAATATTCCACTAGTCCACAGACACTAAAATATTAATCATATTTGCCCATCATTTCTGCCTGCGGGTCGGGGGCTAAATACAAATCGGGCAGGAAATTTCCTCTCTGAGCTGGCAATTGTCAGCGGGTACTGTGGCTTTTGAACCAGTTCCATATAATAAACAGGTGCGTGGAACAAGCCTTGGCAGTGATCTGATATCAATGGAAACAAACAAGTTTAGTTACATCCATCATTATCAACGTAAGCCCCTCAGACTAATTTCCTCACAGTGCGAGACAAGTGATACTACCAGATACAACTAGTTGTATTAAGAGGGATTGAAACACGCATCAGCATCACTCTTCCACTTTGAAAACATGTCATGTTCTGCATTTTTCTATTGGGATGGTTTACGGATTTTATTTCGAATAGATTAGTTTGGATTGATTGAAAAGAAGCGGTTTAGTTTCTACCTTTGAAGTCGGGATACTATGGAAAACGTAACAAGTATTCTCTTCTAGATCTGGCAGTGAAGAGCTTATTCTTTATGGACGATGTTAAGTGTGGACCCAACCGACATGACGTCGGGAACACATGGTGTTAGCACTGTTTTCTGTGATTCATGCATACATATCATTACAGTGTTCCCTGTTCTGTTTCGGCAGATACTCGAGACTGGTTGTCCTCTGTCATTGACGTTTTGTATCTACAGACGTCTCCCATTTTGAGTGTTTTTGTTTCATTATGTTTTGTACTCCATCCAAAATGGAAAGGGATGCGACCCGTGAAGATTGCTTTGTTGCTTTGTCGTTTAACGCCGCACTCAGCAATATTCCAGCTATATGACGGCGATCTGTAAATAATCGAGTCTGGACCAGACAATCCAGTGATTGACATCATGAGCATCAATCCACGCAATTGGGATTGATGACGTGCATCAACCAGGTCAGCGAGCCTGACCACCCGATCCCGTTAGTCGCCTTTAACGACAAGCATAGTCACCTTTTACGGCAAGCATGGGTTGCTGAAGACCTATTCTACCCCGGAATCTTCACGGGTCCGTGAAGATCCGGGGTAGAATAGGTCTAGATCCGGGGTAGAATAGGTCTTCAGCAACCCATGCTTGCCGTGAAAGGCGACTAACGGGATCGGGTGGTCAGGCTCGCTGACTTGTTTAATGCATATCATAGATCTCAATTGCGTGGATCGATGCTCATGATGTCAATCACTGGATTGTCTGGTATAGACTCGATTATTTTACAGTCAGCCGTCATATGGCTGAAATATTGCGAAATAGTGCGGCGTTAAACAACAAACAAACAAATACGATGGAACGGGGTGCAGATTTGGGATCGAACCCCGTACCTTCCGCTCTCCGGGCGAACGCTCTGCCTCTAGACCACTGAGGCGGTTAAGGAGGTTCAGCATGAAAGACAATCACATTAAATGCAATCCCCTAGATACACGACGGGATGGTGTGCTTGTATTTTATTGCCATTCCTCAGCAGAGCGGTGGCACGGAGACTGACGTCCTTGTCAAGGATATTGGAGACACATAAATAATTTGTGCCAGGACAATGACCTAGAGACAGATTAACGGTCGCAGGTGGTGAGATCCCAGCTGGACACTCCGACATAGATGCTATTTAATTAAAAATTGCTCACTAACGGTACTGGAATGGTCCATGATTAGCCAACTTTGAACATTATTAATCTGCAGGGGGTCGGTAAAGAGATCACGTGACAACAATGTGACAAACTGTCGTTGGAGTCCCATCGAAGCTGCCAACTATGGCATCGCGTGTATACCAATTCTTTATCATAAGGTAGTCACGAGCCGTGATCACATGGACAACATAACGACACCCCAAGGTAATAATGATCGGATTAATGCCTCGGTTGGCCTTAGAAGTCTAACTCTCCAGGTACTTATCAAAGCGGTGTTAAAATGGCGAAGCGCGGACGTTCATTATGCCTGGACGAGTCTTGGGACGCTTATGGTTTCTCCGTGATAGTGAAAACCATTCGGGTTTCCAACGCGCCGTAGGGAATCCCCCGAGGGTTTAATAAGGCGCAGTAACTTTATTCACGAACAACATTCTACATCTTATATTAATCGGGTCTTACAATGACGCATCTACCTTTTGTGCCAGGTGTCCCTTAAGACGTCTTTTTGTTTCTTAAAGGCGTTGTTTGCTCCACGGTGTGAGGGTCATATCCTACCTCGCGCTGGACATTGAACTCAATGCGATACTGAGACAGTGTCTGTTAATTTTCTACTGTTAATTTGATGTGTATCCTCATGTTTGAACTAGTAGGCAAACAATGTTTTTCTTGGGGGATTTGAAACACTTTTGCTTTGGCAATATTTTCGAGCCGTGTCCTTTTAAAGGAACCAGTTCAAGGTTGCGTTTTATCATCTGGCGTGATCTTGTTGAGTTGAATGACTGCATTTTCACATGTTGTAAAGAATATTGAAATTATTAAATTAAAATACACAGTTCATGCAAATGTTTGTGTTGAATTAAAGTACTTTAGAACTTTGGTTCTTGTGATAGATTCCATTGCAAGTGTTGGAGTTGGCTGTTTTTAAAAAATCTAAATATCGCAATAGTTTCTGTGATCAGTTAGACATTCAGATAATTCAAAGTGTATATTTTAGCATGGAGAATTGGAGAAAATAGTCCGCAAAAAATATTTGACGTCGGCGGTGTTGATAGTATGTTTGTTGCCTTGTGATGAACATGCATCGATATATGTACAAGGACCATACTCATCTTTCATAAAAAAGGAACATTTAAATATCGTAAGAGGCGACCAAGTGAATCAGGTGGTCAGGCTTGGTGTCTTGGTTGATAGCGTGGTATCGAACCCCGACGACGTGGATCGCTCACAATATCAACTGAGGATTTTCAGGTCCAGACTCGATTATTTTCAGACTACCTTTATACACCTGAAATAATGCTGCGTGCAGCGTTAAACAATAAAACAACACGAATAACATTATCATATATGAAAACAAGATGAAGTTGGTTCATCTACAAAAGTTTGCGGTGGGGAGGTGGATGGGTGTAACGCCGGGTTCAATATTATTGCACCCCAGGAGCAACGTGCATGCATGTGTCTCTGTGTGTGGCTGCTTGTACCATCCCAAACTTTTTCAATAGCACTAGCGGATATTCCACTCAAATACTGACACAGCACACTAACTCCGAGCCGACCAGTTCTTATTTTATCCCTTTAATGCGGAGCGCCAGGCAGGGTAACAACAAGTACCATACGTCTTTTAGTATGACCGAACCACCAACCTTCCGCTCTCCGGGCAGACACTCAATCCACTCTTCCATGGAGGCAGTCGATCTCTAAAAAGAAGTAATCTATTCTATGCTTAAGTGACAAGAACAACCAAATATGACGGGTTATTGTGTGTAAGGAACACTCGTCATTGAAATGAACAAAAACAATCATTTTGAGTGTTGGTTTACATACTCATAGCATTCTCATTATCAAGCGATTCTCTGGTGGCGAACAGTTTTAGAAGGTGCTGACGTTAAGGATAATTTATTCATGAAAGTTGATTTGTTATAGAAGGTACGTTGTATTTTTGTACGAAAATCAATATTACCAGAACTGCTACACATATTAGAGCCATCCTACCACTGTTAGCATCGATTGGTGTTTCTTAAAGGTGACTGATTTCTAAGTTGCAAAAATAAGTGAGGATTGTTGAGATTGTGCGTTTAGATTATAAACGTAGCTATGTAATATTTATACCCTTTCTCTGTCTATTCAAGTTTCTGGAAAAAGAAAATCAATA